AAGATATAAGCTCATCCCGATGTTACACTCATCAAGAGCTTTCATTTGAATATCCACATGCATTTTGATATATTTATATATATATAATATATATAAATATATAAAATATATGAAAAATCGATGTGGGTACTCAAATGAAAGGTCTCGACGAGTGTAACATCAGGATGAGCTTATATCTCAAAAAATGTCAATAGTTGACAAGATACGAGGTCATTATCATAAATTGACTATTTAATTGCAGGTGGAGCGCCTGGTGGACAGATTAGAATCTTCAACACTTTTGGACGACAGAAGAGACGCATGCCGAGCATTGAAAGCTCTATCACGTACCTACCGAGTGGAAGTAGGAGCACAGGGTATGAACGCGGTACGCCAGGTCCTGGAGATGGACCGCACAGACTGCGAGATAGTGGGCCTGGCGCTGGACACACTGTGCAACATCACGAGCCCGGAGACCTTCGACGAGGAGGTGGACAAGAACGGCCCTAACAGCAAGATCGGCGAGCAGTTCACTGAGATCTTTATCAAGCACCAGGACAGCGTGGGTCTGGTGCTGGCCGCGCTTGAAGACTTCGACTTCAGAGTCCGCTGGCCAGCGCTCAAGCTGCTGTCCAACCTGGTGAGCAACCGCCCGAAGGACATCCAGGAGATCATCCTGGTGATGCCCATGGGCGTATCCAAGCTGATGGACCTGCTCAGCGACAGCCGCGAGGTCATCAGGAACGACGCGCTGCTCCTGCTGATCCAGCTGACCAAAGGCAACGCCAACATCCAGAAGATTGTCGCCTTCGAGAACGCCTTTGACAGGATCTTTGATGTCATCACCCAGGAGGGCAGCGCCGAGGGAGGGATTGTTGTTGAAGACTGCTTGCTGCTCATGCTCAATTTATTAAAAGGCAATCTTAGCAACCAGAACTTCTTTAAAGAAGGAAGTTATATTCAGAGGCTCACGCCAATGTTTCAGCTCCCCCAGGTTGATTCTGAGGACCCTGCTCCGGTGGGGTGGAGCCCTCAGAAGGTTGCTAATGTTCATTGCATGGTTCAGGTTGGTTATTTTTTTGATATAAGCTCATCTTGATGTTACGCTTATCAAGAGCTTTCATTAGAGTACCCACATTCTTTTTTTATATATTTTTCATATATACATATATATAATATATATTTTTAAGATATAAGCTCATCCTGATGGTATACTCATCAAAAGCTTTCATTTGAGTACCCACATGCATTTTTGATATATTTTTGATATATATATATATACATATATATAAAATTGATGTGGGTACTCAAATGAAAGGTCTTGATGAGTATAACATCAGGATGAGCTTATATCTTTAAAAATGTCAATAGTTCTCAAGATACAAGGTAATTTCTCAATAAATGATTCTTAGGTGATCCGGGCGCTGGTAGCACCAAGCTGTTCTGCCCAAATAGTCTCAGCGTGTCAAAGAATAATGCATGCATGCGGCCTGCTGCAAGCTTTATGTGACATCCTGATGGCCAGCGGAGTGCCAGCAGACGTTTTGACCGAGACAATAAACGCAGTAGCAGAAGTGATCCGCGGGAACAACACGAATCAAGAATTCCTGGGCAGCGTGACCGCACCGAGCAGTCCGCCGCGGCCAGCAATAGTGGTGCTGCTCATGTCGATGGTGAACGAGAAGCAGCCGTTCCAGTTGAGGTGCGCAGTGCTGTACTGCTTCCAGAGCTTCCTGTACAAGAACAACGATGGGCAGACGCAGTTGATCCAGACGTTGCTGCCCCAGAGCAACGAGACGCCCTCGCTGACCACTGGGCAGCTGCTCTGCGGCGGCTTGTTCTCGCCGGACCCGCTGTCCAATTGGTTCTCGGCTGTCGCGCTGTCCCACGCGCTCATCGACAACACCACACAAAAGGAGCAGCTGCTCAGAGTGTTGCTGGCCACTAATATTGGCAAGCCGCCGGTTACTTTGATGCAACAGTGCGTGTTCCTCCTACAGCAGGGTAGCAAGCCTCAGAGCAAGCTCGGGCTGCTCATCCTGCTCTGCCGCTGGGTCAGCTACTGCCCAGTTGCTGTCAAGACATTCCTGTCCCTCGACTCTTCCGTTGCCTATCTGACTGCCCTGCTGTCTGGCCACGATAACAATGAAGACCTGGAGGAGAATCTTATTCAGAGCATGTGTGCTTTACTTCTCGGCATGTGTGTTCACTTCAACGACGATCAGGTTCCTGCTTACACCAAGGACAAGCTCTGTAATTTAATTGACAAGCGCATTGGCCTTGAGAGGTTCCAAGATGCCATTGGTGGAACTACTAGGCATGAGATTTACTCCAGGACTCTCAAGCATCCTCAGCCTTCGGCTAAACATCCAAAGGACTTGCTCCTGGATCATGAGTTCTGTCGGCTGTTGAAGATTCTTGAAGGAGGTGTTTCTGAATCAATTGTCAAGGGTAATAGCAATTCTAAGGACAGTCCCAAGGAAATTGTTAATAGTGATCCGATGGTTGGGCAGTATAAGGATCTTATTAGGGAGCAAGATGAGGAAATTCAGAAACTTAAGAGAGAGAATGAAAATTTGAAAAAAGAGAAACAAGAATTTCAGGTTGGTCCAATTATATATTTTTTTTTTTAGTTAAATTGCACTGTACTTTTTTAACTATTGATATTTTTAAAGATATAAGCTCATCCTGATGTTACACTCATCAAGAGCTTTCATTTGAGTACCCACATGCATTTTTGATTTATTTTTCATATATTTGTATATATAATATATATAAATATATGAAATATATAAAAATTGATGTGGGTACTCAAATGAAAGGTCTTGAAGAGTGTAACATCAGGATGAGCTTATATCTTTAAAAATGTCAATAATTCTCAAGGTACAAGCTCATTTCTTAATTATCAATATTTTTAAAGATATAAGCTCATCCTGATGTTATATTTATCAAGAGCTTTCATTTGAATACCCTCATGCATTTTTGATATATTTCATATATTTATATATATTACATATATGTATTTATGAAAAATATATCAAAAATGCATGTGGGTACTCAAATGAAAGGTCTTGATGAGTGTAACATCAGGATGAGCTTATATCTATAAAAATGTCAATAGTTCACGAGATACAAGGTCATTTCTTAATTATGTATCTAGAGATAGTGTTTTCTATTTTTCCAAATTGTTTAAAAATTTTTTTATTCAAAATTTTACTTAAAATTTTTGATTAAAAATTTCAGATAACAATCCAGGACTTACAATCCCAAATAAGTAACCTCCGGGACCAAAACTTAGTCCTGCGTGCGGCGCAAACAAACCTAGCCGACAAGGACACTTTACCCAACCATCAAATAAAAATAGATGACTCCTCAGAGGAGTTACAAAAATCCAGGAGCAAAATCCAGGATTTAGAGTCGCAACTCTCCGAGTATAAATCAATGGTCGTCGCCCTGCAGGAAAAAGAAAGCCAAGTATCTATTGAGCTGGAGAAAAAATTAAAAGAGACGAGCGAGGAGCTGGAGAAGCTCAAAAAGGACCAAGAGGACCTCCTGGAGCTTCTGTCGGACCAAGACACCAAGCTGATGCTGTACAAACAAAAACTTACCGCCCTGGGCGAGAAAGTCGAGTCTGATGGAAGCTCTGGAGAGGTTGATGATGACACCGACGACCAGCCGTCGAGTAATTGAATTCCTTAAGCACAAAGGTATTATTTATAGAAAAATAAATCAGATTTATGAACCTGCAATCTTTTTATTTAAATCAGGTCATATTATTACTAAGAATTTTATTTAAAAAATGAATTTAAATATCTTACTATCCTTTAAAAGTATTTTCTATTTACATAGTTTTTAATTTATTATATTTAAATGGTAATAAATATATTTATAAATTAAACTTGAGCCTGACGTTGCTTCAAAACCGCCTGGATGCACTTGGCCATGGTCGGAGATGCGCGAGACACTACGTCAGTCATGAAAAATTGCTCCAGTGATTTTTGCTTGACGTCCACTGGGTCTTGAAGGAAGGATCCTCCGGTTTTCTGTTTTTAATTTAGTAATTAATTAATATTTTCAAGATATAAGCTCATCATGATGTTACGCTCATCAAGAGCTTTCATTTGAGTACCCACATGCATTTTTTTATATATTTTTCATATTTATATATATGTAATATATATAAATATATGAAATATATGAAAAATTGATGTGGGTACTCAAATGAAAGGTCTTGATTAGTGTAATGTCGGGATGAGCTTATATCTTTAAAAATGTCAATAATTGAAAAATTACCTTGTATCTTGTGAAATATTGACATTTTTAAAGATATAAACTCATTGCGATGTTACACTGATCAAGAGCTTTTATTTGAGTACCCACATGCATTTTTGATATATTTTTCATATATACATATATGTAATATATATAAATATATAAAATATATGATAAATTGATGTAGGTACTCAAATAAAAGGTCTTAATGAGTGTAATGCCGGAATGAGCTAGTATCTTAAAAAATGTCAATTGTTCTCAAGATACAAGGTCATTTCTTTATTATTGACATTTTTAAAGATATAAGCTCATCCCGATATTACACTCATCAAGAGCTTTTATTTGA